AATGGGCTTTTCTGGGGCAAGTCCTTCCTGGGGTCAGAGCTGGACGTAGATGTGTGGGTGCCTGGGCAAGTAAATAGTTTGGCACCCCTTTAGGTCTGTGTCTCCCAATCTCTGTTCGGCATTTACTCAGTAGGGTCAAGGGAAAACTAATTATTTCTGTTAGTAAAAACTATACCTGGAGAGAAAGTCACTTATTCATGTCCATGCTCTTAAGGGAGTCAGTTCTGAAAAATACTCAGCAAAACATTTCCTGTCTTTTGGTGATGGTTGTTCCTTCCTTAGGTCGCCTTTGGGAACTAGCCAAATCAAATAACAAGTGGGAGGTATAGTAAAGGGTTGTGGTTTTAGGTAGGACCTATTTTTATTGGTAGGCGGTAGGAACAACTTGGTTTCTGAATTTTAGCAGCTGTCCCTGTGGATGCTAAGCTTGCTCTGACTGCATGTGTTATGGGAAAATGTCCAGAATAGGCAATTCCATGGAGAAAACTGCCAGTGGGCATGGGGTTTCTTTTTAGATGATGAAAATGTTCTGGAAGACAGTGGTCTGGTTGTACAACTTGGTGAGTATACCAAAAAGTACTGAATTGTATACTTTAAAAGGGTGGATTTTATGGTATGGGAATTATATCTTACTTTTTAAAAAACCCAGAAAGGCATCAGCCCAGCAAAGCATTTTTTAAAATTCCATGGCAGGGAGCCCTTTACCTTATTGCAAGTATAGGGGTCCATGCACATTTCCCCAGCTATGTGAGGACAGTTCTGGAAACCTGAGTTAATATGTTTGTGGTTTATTCCCGTGATGTTCAGGGCTTCCTACCATGTCTAGTTGGCTCAAACCATTATTTGGCTCGGGTCAGGCCTATCTTCAGTGACATGTTTCAGGGGAGACTTAGGTTCCAGGGACCGAGAGGACGCCCCTCCTTGCTTCTCACATGTAATAGGAATCCAAAATGTTTGGAACACTTGCTTAGATCCACCCAGGGCCTGAGCATTTTATGCTGGGTTAGACATGGTCTTCAAATTGGAAATTTCTCTCATGCTGTGTTTGGTATTGTGAGGCAGCCATTCACTGGAGGATGTAACCATGAGAGAACTCCACCTCAAATCTCTCCCCACCCTCCATCCACGTATTTATTTGAACACTTCTACAGCATTTACTATGAGCCCAGCACTTCTCTGAGAGCTTTACAAATATTGAGTCCTCTAACATTAGAAACCCAGATTTTTGGCTTCTCATAAAAACTAGAATCTGAACCCACAGCCCCACAGAGCATCACTGTTCAGAAGAGCTGCTGCAGCCCCTTTCAGCCCAGGTGATACCCAGAGTATATACAATTAGCATGGCAGGGGCACAGACCAACCACAGGGATGGTAGTCATAAACTGCCCATGTGCCCTTGTCTTAAGTCTCATGCTAGGAAACCTCCATGGCCCCTGCAGATGTCTGAGCCTGGGTACCCCTGGGATGCCCTAGATGGATCTGTGACAGAGGGGACAGAGGGATCCACCGAGGAGGACGTGATGAGCTATTCCAGGAAGCAGGGCATGGACAGTCTGAAATGGAAGTGATGCCCAAGCTGGGCTTGTCCTCAAGTGCATGCCATCTCCATGAGAAGATGGTGCCTGGACTGGCCTGCTGGTTCCCGGAGAGGATGAGAGATCCATGGAGCAAAGCCGAACCACCCCAGTAGAGCCCATCCTAAGTTAGCCAGCCTAAAGGTTTGTCAGCTAAATACATGTTTACTGTCATTCACTAAGAGATTTTATGGATGTTTGTTATGCAGCAATATTGTGCCCATCATGAACTGATATAGTCTCTCACCAGCTGTGTGACTTGGGAAAGACCAGGTCCTTCCCCGAGGACCCAGAGGAGGAAGGTGGGACTTGGTAGAGCCCGTGGCACACCTGGGGTGAGCTCAAGGGAAACTCTAAGTTCCTCTACCTAAATGTCCTGTCCAGCACTCCCTGGAGGTAGGGCATCTCTAGGAAGAATATTCCAGCTTCCAGTGGATGAAAGAAGCCCCAGGTGTGGTAGAAAAGACACCGGTGGGATGGTGGGGCTGTGGGGAACCAGGCCACCCCCACGCTGTGGGAGCTTGAATGAGCCGTGCTCCTCTGGAGGGCTATTGGGCAGCACATATACTCCATATCCAGAATTACACTTGCAGGTGCATGTGCGCACACACACACACACACACAGGCACACACACATCCCAACAACAAAGCCCACTTGCACATGTGTACAAGAAAATATTGTCAGATGATCAGCATATTATTGTTTAAACAGCCCAAAGTTAGAAATGACTCAAATGTCCACAGTTAGGGGTCAGTGAAGTGAACTGTAGGGTCCCGGTACCGTGAGGCACCATTTATGTGCTAATGTGATAGAATCTTGAAGACAAATGACTGCGTTCAGTTTCTTAGGTGCAGTATAACTTTTACAGGGAAAACAAGCAAAAGTGAACTGAACACTCTACAGTCAACTGGGCGGCAGCAGTTGTCTCTGGAGAAAAGGTTGGGGAATGGTGGCCAAAAGAACTGTCTTTCTCTAAAATGTCATAATTTTGGAAAGGGACTTTATTTCTACATATTTAATCCTTAAAAATTAAGTTCACAACAGGAGTGATAAAGATTTGGCCTTTGGAGACAAGCAGATCTGAGTTGGAAGCTCCACTGTGTCACGTCTGTTTTTAGCTTGGGGCATGTTGTGTCCCCAGCTGGTAGGGATGTGAACCTCCACTGGCAGAGCTACCCAGTGGGCAAAATGAGCTGGTGCCCATGGCAGGGCTGACATAATGCCTGGGTACCGAAAGGAGTTTATAAATGTCAGGTGGAAGCAAAGGACAGATTTACCTGGGTACTGCACAGTGCAGCCTGCACGTCCCTCTGGGGACTTTCCTTGGGAATCCTGCATGGCCCAATGGGCATGTGAGAGCCTTGGGAATGCCCCAGGCAATGAGGGCCATGGCCAAGCTCGGCCAGCACTCTGGCTCCCATGGTGGCATCTCAGGGCATGAGAAACATGTGCTGAATGACCCTGAGTGGTGAGATCGGGGACATGGTGCCAACATGTTCAATGACCTCCAGAATAAATTATGAGCCTCTTAGGGCTGGTGGCAGGATGAGGGGGACATTCTCCCAGTCACCTGAAGGCTGTTAGTGACAGTTGTGGCTTCCTGAATTATCACTGGAATGCTGGGGAGTCTGGTGGGGTTTGGGAATTCTGGTAGGAGGCAATCATTTCCTGCTTGAGTGACCTAGAAAGAGTCCCTCAAATGGACAATGAAAATGACAGACTAATCCCAAAGCTCCTGATAAAGCGGTAAACTGCCGACTACATAGCTGAGATGGGATTCCAGATGGATTCCCTCGATCTGGGTGAGCGCTCCCTGCCACCCACCACACTTCCAGTGTGAGTTAAACACAGCCAACTCAGTGAGCACCAGTGACGCTTCGCTTCAGAACCTCGTGGCTTCTGTGTTCCGTGTCCTCCCACCCTCTACACAGCACCTTCTTCCTGCTGTGCGAGTCCAGGGCCCATCACCCTGTCTCCTCCCTTCCCTGGTTCCTTGCTGATTTTAGGTGCAAGCAGCAGTTCTCTAGGGAGAGCAGGGAGGGTCTCATTCCTGTGGGTTCCCAGCACATGGGCCGCATAGGCCACATAGGCCGAGGTCTGCAGGACAACCTGGAGTTGATCCTAATAAATATGCGGCAGCCTATATCCCCTCCGTGTCCCCCACCACTGGGCAGCAGGGCCAGCCTCACTTTGGGCACGCCCCCTGCTCCTTAATCTGTTTTCCAGACTGGAGTCTGAATATCTTTTCCTTACACCGACCTGCCTCATCATTTCAGCTGCCTCTCGATGAAGCCCTTTCAGAGCCATCCTATACTCTTGGGCTATGTAGTCTCTAACACAGGGCCTGCTCTCACTCCCAGCAGCCCCTCCCAGCCCCTTCCACCTCCATGGACTCCTTCCCCTCCGCTCACCCCTCTGCTTGGTCTACTTAGCAACAATGGGTTTCCTTTCTCTCCATTTCCCACTGGTGGAACCTAAACCTGTTGGTATTGGATTCTGGAAACTGTGGTTCCCAGGCTTCCAGCCCTGGCTGGTTGCCTATAAAGTGCCTAACAGACATTGTACCCACAGTTATGGCTCAGGAGACACTTCCCTGTCACTTAGTTCCATCACCTAGAATTGCTTAGCATCACGTATTGACTCAATCTGCTACCTTCATCTCTCCCAGGCTCCCCTCCATTCCTGGAATATATTAAAACCCATTTCCAGAGATGTGGTTCCCATGAGCTTTGGGATGACACGTGCTCTCTTCTCTGCCTCCTGTGGACACTCACCAGGTGTGTCATTTGGCTGCACAGCCTGGGGTGCGGGATTCCACCACCTGCTGCTGCTTTCTCCCTTCCATCCCAGCGGACACTGCGCACCACTGACCCTGAAGTCATCGAACCCTCACCTCGACTATGGTCAGCGTCGTCCCTCATTGTCCAGACCCTGGGGCCTTTGGGGTTCATTCGTTTCACAAAATTCATGAACTTTATCTTGGCTTGGCTCCTTGCTTGCCTCTTGCCTACCTACACTCTATGGCGGACTTCCTCCACTGACAGGTTTCCCATTTTAAAGATGTCTTTTTCTCCCATTTAACAAAGGCATTTCTGAGGCTGACAATTTCATAAATACTCCCTCTCACAAACACTTCCTGAGCCCCTGCCGGGTACCTGGCTCACCAGGTGAGCGGGACAAAGGCCTGATGCTTCTGACCAGCCCATCCCTCATTTCTTATGTGGCATTTTAAGATGTCGTGTTTTAAGATGAAACCTAGTTTCCTGAGAACTCTATTCCTTTTTAAGGCAATTTCCAAGTTGGCCTTTACCTCAGCATTTTATCATAACTCCTTTCTAAATCAAGACACACCGTATGATGAAATTTGGGGAGTTTTTCCTCACCAGGAAGTTAAAAAATAAAACTGCAAGGCAGCATCTGTTTTGATAGCTTTATTGGAACATGATGGTAACACAGAACATGGATTTGGGGACCCACCACAGATGCTCCTCCTCTAGCAGCAAGCGCCCCACTTCTGCAGCTAGTAGAGACTCCAGGAAGCCTCCAGAAGGGTGGGGGCAGCTCAGAGACAGACCTGAAGGAGGTCCCTGCAGCAGCAGGTGGCACGTGGGCACCTTGGGTTGGAGCCCTGAGCAGGGGAGAGTGTGATCAGCAGACCAATTTTCTGCCTCCACTACCTGGCCATAGTTAGAGACCCACCTGCCTCAGAGTCCGGGGAAGACTTCCGAGGAGGGAATTCTGGGGCTTCCAGAAGGAATCCAGCCAAGACACTGAGCACTGAGCATCTCTGAGGGCCGCTGGGGCAAACCATGCTTCAGGTGCATTGGCAGATAACCTGCTGAAAGCTCCTACAGTGTGCCAGACACTCTTCTACAGGCTAGACATACAAGGGCCAACAGACAGAGGGGGAGACAGACGGGGGCCAGGAAATCTGTCACACAGCTGACAGTTAATTGTGACCCACGCCAAATGGCTTTGAGGACAGTTCTGGGGTGTCAGAGACCCTCCCTAGTTGGGAGGGCCAAGGAAGACTTCCTCAAGAAGTGATATTGCAGCTGAGGTCCCATGGCCGAAAAGGCAAGAGTAATTTAAGTCAGGGAAATAGCTCTGTGCTTGTCCAGGGAGCTGGAAGGAGCAGTGAGATAAGCAAATGAAAAGGAGAACCCAGGAGGGCCAGGGTGAGGCGGTGAGAGGAGTGTGGCGGGGAGGAAGCTGGAGGGGCAAGTCGGCACTGATCACACAGGGCCTGTGGCCACTTGAAAAGGGATTTCCTCCATGTGTGACATGACAGGTTTGCATTTTGCACAGCCCACTGCGGCTACTGTGTGCAGAGAGGCAAGGGGGGAATTCAGAGAGCTGTCAAGAAGCTGCTTCAATTGTCCCACATGGGGGATGGCAGGGGGCCGAATGATGACAGGGCAGGTGGAGAGAATCGAGCAGACGGTGCATATATGTGGGAGCTAGGACTTGAGAAGGGTTGGTCACCAGGGGCCGGCAAAAGGGAGGTGCCAAGATGGACCCTCGGCCTTTGAAGCCAATGGTGGGCTGTTGCCTGAGGAGGAGAACCCTGGGAGAGAAGCAGGTACAGGGAGAAGGTCGAGGGCATAGCTGTGGACATGCTAAGGTGAGATATCTTGGAAACACCCAGGTGGAGGTGCCGTGCAGGCAGCAGTGAGTGGAAAGCTCCCAGAAGGGGCCTGGGCTCCAGGTACCATTCTGTGAGTAATGTCCTCAGAGGTAAGCCTGGTGACTACAGTTATAAGGGTGTAGTTGAGGCCACAGAGGGAAATTGCAGTGAGAAGAGAAGTCTCAGGGAACAGCCACATCCAATGGCTGGGAGAGGACAGTGAACTGCAGAGGGACTGAAAGGTACAGATGGACAGGGAGGTGGACCCAAACAGGGGGGTCTTAGAACCAAGGGCAGAGTGGGTTCAGGGGGGGCAGTGGTCAGCAAGAAGAATCCTTGGACTCCCTCATCTCTCTGGAGCTGTCACCACCCCTACCACCTTGGGCCCCTTCAACAACGTTGTATACAGGAAAGGAGAGCTCACTTCCTTGGACAGGAAGGAAGAGCTGCTCAGAGGGGTCCACTGATGTGCCCAAGGTCGTGCGTCCAGCAGAGAGCGCTGTGGGGCCAGCTCCCTAACTCGGGTGTGTTGTGTCCCCCAACCTCCACCTTTCCCTCCCTGACACCTGCACTTTACCCAGCAAGTCCACTCCACATCACTTCTTGTGACAAAAAGCACCAGAGAGTCAGTGCGGCAGCATGAAGGGACCCCCAAGCTCTGGGTCGGAGCCTCGCTAGGAGGAGGGTAGGCTGAGCCAGGGAAATATCTTGGCCTCTCTCCTGAGAGGCAGTACAGTGTCATGTCAAGAGCAGAAGCTTGAGACCTGGCTTTTCATCCATCCTTCCATTCATTCGTTCATTCATTCATTCATCAACTATTTCTTGAGTGCCTCTATGAGCCAGGTGCATGTTCCAGGAGGCCCAGCAGGCCCCATACTTCTCTGAACCTTATTTTCTACTTTGTAAGGGTGCAGGCAAAGTCCCCGACACGCAGTAGGGTTCAGTAAAGGCTCATTTCCCTCCTTCCCCTTCCCTCTCCTCCCTTTCTTTCATCCTGCAGAACCTACCAGGGAGTGAGAAGCCAGCACCTGATAGCAACACCCTCTGGGCCTGCTGTGCTCAGAGGACACATGTGCCCCTGCACATACAAATCCATGCACACACATGTGTACACACCCCTGACTGTCCAGCCACCTCTGCTCATGACTCAGGGCCAGTGCCAGCATGAGCTTTGAACCCACTGGACCTGGCAGACCTGGGCTCAGGGGAGTCCTGAACCTCTGCCTGGGAAGGCTGAGTACAGAATAGGTTGTTCCCTAGGCCTGAGGACTCCAGCACCCCACTGTGTGCTCCGGAAGTCCCTAGACTCAGGTGAGGATGTGTTCTTGGTGGCTTTGAGGGCTGCTGGGTCCTTAGTGGCTCCAGGAGTCAAATCTTGGTGACTAAGAGCAGTATCTTCAGTGTCCTGGGGCCAGGTCTACACAGCCTCTGAGGGCAGTGTCCTCACCGCTTTGTGGGCGGTGTCCTCAGTGGCTCCTCAGACAGCGGCTCCCCTGGCTGCTCCTTCGAGGGGCCTCCCACAGGTCTCTGGAGGAACCCCAGCCCCCACAGGCTCTTGCAGCAGCTCAGAAGGTTGCCGGGGCACAAGGCGCCGGACAGCGCTGGCTTCCTGAGGAGACACAAGCACACGTCAGGGCCGAGGTGACCACAGAGATGGCCGGTGTTGCCAGGGGCCAGCCTCTAGCCTTCACTTCTTCTGAGCCAGGCCTTGGGAAGAGAGGGGTGGGGTGGGGCAGGGCAGGGGACCTCCCTTTTCCACCAGGGCAGCCCACAAGCAACAGAGACTTTTTCCCTCAACCACAATGCGGAGTGTGCAGGAGACTTGTTTCAAATCCCCGGTCTGCTTCTCAAATGCTATGTGCTGTTGGTCAAGTTACTTAGGTCCTTGGAACCTCAAGTGCAGGAAAAAATAACCCCTTTCCAATTCTTTCCAATTCTTGGGAGGATTACATGTTGCAAAATACACAGGACAGTATCCTACACATTGCCCAGCTTACAGAGGAGCCCAATTAATGTTTGCCATTTCTAAGTCAATGAACTGATTTTTGAGCATCTACATGCTCACAGGAGAAGGTTGGGAGAAGAAGACACACAAAGGTTTATTCAGCCCCGCATTAAAATGGGAGTATGAACACATCTGTCTCTTAGGATGCGCGAACACATCTGTTTCTATTAGGATGCGCGCTCCCAGTAGGCAAGGTGCCTGCCTTTCCAGCCCCTGTGGCTGTGGCCGGCTCAGCAGGTCCTCAGTTAATGTCTGGCAAGTCGTTCTGATAGCAGGTAGGTTACTGAACATGAAGTTGCCAAAAAGCTTGGTAGGATGGTTTTTAACAGAATATTTGACATACATTTTCAGAAAGAAGAGTATTTCCCTCACTGCTGGGCATGCAAACTTCCTGCCCTGTTGCCTCCTAAGCTGTGGATGGCAGGCCTGCTGTTTCCTTCAGCTACTTTCAGTGAGTAAGAAGGTCTTTCTCATTTTTATTTCAAGCCTCAGGAGGTCAGAGGAAAGGTTCAGCATGCTTTTGGCACCTACCACCTGCAGGTCTTCCTTTAGGACGGAGAGCAGGGGCAGGCTCCGAGCTTTACCCAGGCAACTGCAACTGGCCACCCTTTGATGGCATTGTTTGTGTCATTGCGTCTTTGTTCACAAGTATTTTCTGTTTTCTACAAGTGATACTGCATTGTCATTTATGGTGATGATAGGAAATTTTCTTATAAATGTATCTCAGTGGAAACAGTGAATGAGTTGCAGAGATTCAAGTGGATATAAAGCAGGTGGGAAAGGACTGTGGGCTGGATTGGCAGGAAAAGGGAATTTGCAAGTGAGTGGCTTTTGGGGTGCCCTTCTGAGTCCCCAGCCCACTCCAGCTCACTCTTGGCCCAAACACAGGGGAGTCTGAGCACTGCATGCTGTCCTTAGAGACGCTGTGGGAGCTCCCTGTAGCTCCAGAGCAGGACAACTCTGGCTTCAGCTCTGTGTATGGCCATGAACACCGCCTAGTTTCTTGCTTCCCTGCCTAGGGTGGAGTGGTAGCTTTCCTTATGCAGTGTGAGTCTGGAAGCCACCCATCGCTTGGTCCTGAGACCCACTGCAGTTCCTCAGGATGTCCCTGGAGGCTCATGCTGGGTCTTAGCCCTAGCCTCCATCTGTTAGACCATCCGGCCACTAGAGCTCGCTGTTCCTTCTCCCTTCCCCAAGCGACGGGGAAGAGCCTCGGGCTTCCTTTCAGAACCTATCAGACAAGAGCTGCGGATTTGGACGCCTGGCTCCCTGAGGCTTTGTGAAAGGGCCCATCGAACAGCCACAGCTGGCACTCAGGCCTCCCTCAGTGGGTGGGAAGGTTCCGGCCGAGCTGTGGCGGGGGCCCATGTGGCCCAGGTTCTCCCTGAGGTTTGGCCAGCCCTTCCTGTCCCCAGAGCCACGGCTGCCTGGACCTCAAGGTCATACCCCTGGCACTCCAGAGGCTCCGGTCCTTCTCCTTGCGAGCAGTGTACATATTTGACCAAGCAGGCAGGTGTCTACCCTTGGATTAACATTCCTGCTGGAGCCCGTGGCTCTGATAAAGTGACTTGCACTGAAATCAGTGAAATTATCAAAGAAAAGCTAGCTCTAGGCTTGGAAACAACTAACTTTCCTTCTTCTAAAGGACTGAAAAATCACTTATGATAATATTGTTAAGGAAATATCATATGTTTGAAGTAAGAGATTCAGGATACAGAGATTAATAAAACAAAGCAAATAAATGTCCCAAGTAACTCCTCTACTCAGACATATCTTTTTGTTACATGTCAATTCTGCCATTAAATATTTTTAAATGAAATACATCATATACCCGAAAAGACTACATAAAAAACACATGCATGGTGTAAAGACTATATTAAAGAATATTAAAATGGATACCAGTGTGACCACCTCTCAGGTTAAGAAACAGAACTTCACCAGAACCTGAGTTATTTCAGCAAATGTTTTTGTATCCCTAAACAATATGTCATGCCATTCTGCCTGCATTTTACTTCATTATTATTATTTTTTTGGTGCAAATTACAGCTTTCTTTTCCTCTCTCTCTCCCTCCCTCCCTCCCTCCCTCCCTCTCTCCGTCCCTCCCTCCCTTCTTTCCTTCCTCCCTCCCTTCCTATGAAGTAATGATTAATCCAGCAAGATGGCCATTCTCCAAATGAGGACAATTCCAGACTTAGCCTCCACAAGGCTGTTCACAGATGGCAATCATCTTGAAAGGAAACGAGTGAACGAATCTGATTTATCTGCTCCATACGCCTTCCTGTGGGAACCACCCATTCCCTACTCCATGTGGTTGGTGTGGGGCTGCGATCACTGAGCCTCATCCCCTAAAGGATGCCTTCAGAAGAACTTGTCCATGGGGCAACAGTGATTCTATATGGTGATCTTTAGCAATACTTTTTATGTAAAATTCACTATGTCTCATATTAAGATAGGTACCCAGCTTTCTTTTGGTTAGTATTTGCCTAATATACCTTATTTTTTCTTCCTTATATTTTCAACATTTTTGTTTCTTTAAGTCTATTTCTTGCAAAAACACTTGCTTGTATTTAAAAAATAAAATCTGACACCCTTAATATTTAAAAATTTGGCCACTTTATCTCATTTACATGTACTGTGATTATTGATATAGTCTGACTAATTTCTTCAATGTGATTTTGTGTTTTATGTTTGTCCCACCTTTTCAAAATTTTGCCCTGACTTTTCTTGCTTTGTTTAAATTGTCTTCTTCTCTCATTTTCATCCCTCCTCATCATATAGAATTTCTGCCCTCTTATAAACAAATTTTAACATGCATATTTACCTTAATACAGCTTTGTGGCATGGGGCCCTCCTCATTTCCTTAGCTTACCCGTCCATGCCAAACGGAAGTCGGGCTGTGACACTGAGCTGGATTCCCGCACAGTGTGGACTCTCTTACATTACACACATCTGGAGATAATAGTAGGTTTAGTATTCCCTGGCCCCTGTCGTGGCCCTGAGCCCTGACACTTGAAACCAGGGGGTGTTAATGGAGTTCTAGGAGAGCATGTCACATGGTGTCTGCCACCCAGTAAGTGCTTGTGGCAAACACCTGTCATTTTCACCTTCCCATAGCAGTTCCCCTCCTCTTGGTTAACAGCACCTTGATTCTTCTTGGGAATCCAGGCTTCCTTACTCTTTGCCCACGTGGGTGAGGTGGGGTTGACCCTAATTCTTTGCCCTGGCTCCAGGTTTGAGTACAGAAGCAGACACGTGACCCAATCCAGTCAATGAAACTTAAGGCTGCAATTTTTTGGTGGGACAGTAGGAAAGGGACCTATTTTCAGCTGGGGCCACTAAGATGGTTAAGATGCAAGCAGGAGTTCCTGGTGGAACAATGGGAAACCTCTGACTGCGAAAGAAGGCAGCACAGTGTGAAACTGAGTTGAAAGCTGGAGGAAGACGTTTCTGATACCTTGTGCATTTGGATCCAGCCATGCTTGAAGCTACTCTTGGTTTCGTCATTTCAATGAGCCAATTTCCTGCCTCTACCAATCCTAGCCTCTTTGAGCTGGGTTTCTACTACTGGCAGTTAACAGTGTCCTGATTAGTAATATTCCTAAATAAATGTTCTTTGAATCTGAATTTCATCTTTTCACACTGAGGTTGTTATATTCAGCATCAGCAGTCAGGACCCAGTTTCAGTGCTATTCTCTGCATGAGAAGCCGTGCTCAGGCCCTCTCGGAACCTTGGCCTTCTCAGCTGTGAAATGAGTTTCCACTAGTAACCTCAGAGGAATGATCACACGGAACCACCACGTGTGCACATTACTTGGCTATTTCTTATATCTGAGCCTTGGACACATCATCCCCACGGCTTGAAATGGTCTTATTTTCCTCTTTGCTGTTCAACTCCTACTTCTGTTTCAAGATTCTGTTCAGGCATCAGCTCTGCTGGGAAGCTCTCTCTGAGCTCGGGATTGCCGGTTCCCTCTATCTCCCAGAGCCCTCTGCTGGGGCATTGATCTCCTTGAGTCAACAGTTTACTTGTCTATCTCCCAGACTAAGGCAGGCATGGATCTCTCATCTTCTACCCCTTGCCAACTTTATGGTAGGTGTTCCATCATGTGTGTGAACTAATGAATGAAAAACCCAGTAAACCTCAGTTTAGGTAGTGATTCTCTAGTCTTCTGACTTCCCCGAATCACAGAGCGTCAGAGGCAGAAGCACTGCCCCGGCTCTCCGGCAGCCCTTATCCCTCTGTGTGATGTCTCTTGCTATCTTATTTCTATATCTATTCCACTACTACTAGTCTGGAAGAGCCTTGTGGGCAGGAGCCCCAGAAAAGGCAGTGAGGGACACTTACTTCTCAGTCAACACCTCTGAGCACCAGCCAACAGCTGGAACGATTAGGGGAAAGTGTGAGATTTGGAACCAGGAGTCCTGAGTTCATTTGGAGCCTTTCTCATTTCCCTGCTGTTGGGTCTCAGACAACTCCATGCCCTTTCTCAAGTCCCTTTCCTCATCTGTAAAATGAGAATAACCCCAGTGAAAGGGCTGTTGAAGTCATGAGATGAGATGGGAGAAGAGAAATGTTTTGAAATTCCTTCTCTTCCTCCCTGTT